TGAGCCACCAGCTTCTCTAGGAGAATACAAGCCTCAATACAAGCCTCCCCCTTCCTCCTCAGAAGAGTATATTAGAAGCAAAGACAAGAAGGAAACAATCACCCTTCTCTGCTCCTTTCTTCCCCAAAGAATACAGCATCAGCAAGCACAGACTAAAGCAACTCTGCTCTGTTTTGTGCTTGGGACAGAAACCAACCTACAGAACCCGCTTGTCCCCAAGCTCTTCTCGGAGTCAGTCTTCCAAAACCAGGACTCAGACAGCTTTGAAACTACACTGTTCTGGCAACATGGCCAAGTGATGGGGCCTGTAAAACTCTGTGCAGAGGCTTTGCAAATGATCAATGAGTAGGCGTATCTTTAAAGTTTAGACCCCATTTCGTTCAGGCCCAAAACTCTACCTTCCATCAATACAGTTATTAGTCTGCTGACCTGAGTTAGATCTGATGTTCGGCAGCAAGAGACCCAAGCTTTACGCACAAGGTAGTGAGGATGAGGCAGAAGAGACCCAGAATATTACACAGGAGTAGGTCGGCTGCCTTAGTGAGTGGCAGGAAGAAAGGGAAAAGGCATTCACCTTCTTCCTGGAATTTATCTCCTTCCATTTCTGCTCTAGAAGTCTCACCCTTCCCATAGGGGAAAACATGTTGTTCAATTCCTCCCTGGTGGTTTACTTTCTCTAGCAGAGCTGGCAGCTGAGAGGAAGCACAGCACTGCCTGCACTTTATATTCGCTGCAGTTTGGTCCAAGTGCAAGTCAAGCCACAAGGTCTTCTTCAAGAAAGGACATCTCTTCTCACCCCCCAGAAATAAACATACACTCCTACTTATCATTTCATTCAACAATTTGGTCATTTTAGCAGGAAAAATAGGGTTATGTGTACAAGCAGTTCCAGCCATGGCTGAACTTGGCACGTGGAAGCCAAGCAAAAACTTACAGCCGTGGCTGAACTTGTCACTTAGAAGCACTGAATACTGAGAGTTCATTTTGGAGTTCCTGCAATATTTGAAAAGTTTAATCCATTCCCAGATTCAGTATCTATCCTGTTAACTTTGTAAGCTGTTAACTTTGTCACCCTTTGGCCCCTAACCTCAAGACTAGAAAGGGAAGACACAGATCCTCACATGAGACTCACATGTTGAGCTGTGGGGAAAAAAAGTCTTGTTACTAACGTTAGACTGTGTACTTCCTTTTCTTTACTTCCTTTTCACCATAAATCCTACTCTGTAGTTTAGCAAGACAGAGAAAAGGAATCTAACAAGTCAGCTGTCTATATAACTTACATTAGAAACAAAATCTATAGTTTTGATCTGCACTTTGCCATATATTCCAAGAGTATCTATTCTTTCAAGGTTAATTCTGTGGTTGTAGAGCAGCAAGTGCTTCTTGTTTACAGTCACCTAAAGAGACAGGAAACAAAATAGGAAAATTGTATTAAACACACATCATACCAGCCACGTACCAAATTATATGCATGTATCTCTGTTCTACACTGTTTTGATACAGAAGCAGGGAGTGTCCTAGAACTTTCAGAGCAACTAAGTTCAGCTCATCCATGATTCAGTCTCTCTCTCCATTACTATGAGGGGGACTACACTAAAATTGCCATTTCACACCTTCTGTTTCTATCACCTGATCATTTACCAATGTGGTATTGCCAGCCTAACAGAATCTATTATTGCAGTCTAACAGAGCAAGACAAATACACCTCACATGTTTCCTCCAAGAAGACTGCCCTACACTAGTCACAAAACAGGTTTACTCTACGGTCAGCCCTCTGCACATAAGAAGGGAAGGGTGGAGTACCCATTAGCCACGGCAGCCACTCATCTAACTTAGAGGGAAGCAATACAAGATTAAAGGTCTGATTTACTTAGTACCTCTTTAAAGAAAAGCTTCTAAACTTTTCTGTAGTTAGACTATACCTAGGTAACAGAGAAACCAAGGCTTGCAACTATTTATTTTAAGTATACAGAACACCTCTCTTTTATTGGCCTGACAACTGGCTATGGATAAAGAGTCGACCCAGACTCACCTGGAATTTATCTGTCAAAATCATGATGACAATCTCAAATGACTTCCCTTTCTGAAAGGGCATCTCGTAAGTGATCTCCTCCCAGCCCCATTTTTCCCTCTCCAGTGTGTTGCAAACAATGCAGCCAGACCTTTTGAAGCGCGGGTTGAAATGAAACGCCACATCAGCTCGAGGCTTTATGCTACTGCCACACTGTAAATCCACCTGGAACCTAACCATAAAAATAAGACAAACCACATTCAAGTCAGTCTGTCAAGAAATCACCTAAAAGTTCGATACATTTGTGTTTTACTGGGGAGCCTCAGAACAGGCAGACATAATGAGTGTTATTGGATAAGGAAAAAAAACCAAACATGTATTTGTCCAACTCCTATACATTTGTGAAAGGTTCTCCCATGATTTATTGCAATGAATTAAAATATTTAAGTATTTATTCAATGGTCATCATTCGTATCACGTAAGCTCCTCACTTACTGTGTTCACCACCTTCCCTCCCATCATCTTCAGTAGAATAAGCAAATGAACATTAGGCAAAGTCAGGGAACAGAACCCCCATACTGGGCACACGCACTAGGTCATACCTCCTTATCCCAGTTCAAGTTAATTACGTCACGCAACACATTCAGTTATCAATTTTGTTAATCTCGGATAACCTTTTTAGACAAGCAGGCATATGCTATGACAGGGAAAACAACATTGCCAAAGCAGGCAAAGGAAAAAGAGAGAAGAGTGGATCAGCAGAAAGCAAAAAATCAGTTCATCCTCCACTTCTCATCACAAAGCTTTAATTAACCACTTAAGCCTGTATTCACTCTGACATTATCACAGGGATTTAGATCAAGCCTTTGTGTGCCATCATAAGTAGGACCCCTGGAAACATTTTATCCATTACATTCTTGTTCACATGGTGACACTGCAAAAAGTGACACTGTAGCCACTACCTGTCTGCATCATCAGGAACAGTCCCATGTATCACAATAAGCTCTCCAGGAACAAGGCCACCAAGTATTGTCCCAACATATGGAACGATCTAGAAGAGGGGGGAAAAAAAAGAAAAAAAAAGATTCAAATAACATTTTGTGATGGAGGCAAAAAAAACCCACAGTAGTTTTAAAAATAATATTCTAATAATTATGTGGTGCTCCAGCACATTAAAAGGAACACAACTAGCATTTAATTTAAAAGGAACAGTACAAAAGTACTAAATACCCACCACAATGGGAAGGAAAAACCCGGCAGATTTTCATCTATGAAAACCAAGCTTCTCAGATAAAATTAAAACTAAAATTTCCAGCCTCCATTCCTAGCTCTCAAATGAAGAATGGCAATATTTTATTACCTCACTTTTAATAGAATATAAAGAGGATTCACTTCAAATTAGGACATTGCCAAGGACTGACTATTATCAGCCCTTTGCTGGTAGCAGGAGGCACCTTCCACAACCCTTCTGACCCCAGACTACAGCAGCTGCCTTTTCGCTTGTTCTTGCTCCATTTTGGAAAACAGTGATGGGAAAAGAAGAGACTCTGTTACAGAGTGTCTTCTTAGTAAAAAGACGACACGACAAACACAACAAAATACCTCATCCTGATGAGCTAAGAACTGCAAGGTGCACTGAAATAGCCCTGTTCAGGGGTCTCGATCTTTATGGTACCTACGGCATGCAGTCTGGCGCAAAACCTGCCTATTTTTTTCTTCCACATCAATAGCTGAAGAAGGTAACACATGCACGTTATGCTAAACTGAAATGGCAACACAGTAGGAGTTGTTAAGCCATATGAGGGGACATGTCAGTTAAAATAAAAGCCCCAAACACCCCATCACAGCTCTTTGTCAAAGGTTCAGACATGCTGACAGAAGTCCTATCCTGGCCATCAGCTGGCACACCCAGAATATCAGGGAGGGAAGGGGACCACCTTAAAAGAAAACTGTGGAAGTTCACAGGAGACTGGTCTGAAAGCAAAGCTATAAGTCTGCATCTCATCACATGTGCTTTAGACTGAAAAAGGAAGTAAATGGTAGCAAATGTTGCATTTGCGCTGGTTAACAGACAAAAATTTCTGCCAAGGTTGTTTTTTAGGGTTTTTTTTCCCCAAAAATCCCTGATCTATGGAACGGTATATAAGATTTTAGGACATCTTTGAAATGAAACGTCAATTGCAAACAAGAGTTCTGATATTTAACAACAAAAAATGAACAGACTGGAAATACTACTCTTGAATGGAATACTAGACCATAAAAGGACAAGTTGAGATTTTTATTTTTTAAATATATACATATATCATAATGCAAAACAGGAAGATATAAAAAGGGGATGTGTTTGCTGACACCTATTCTTGTGAATTTCGGAGGAGGGAAGGGGGAATGATAGCAAAAATTGTCTAAATCCAGTGTTCATCATTTCTGCCAGTAGATACACACCCTTTTCTGCCCTCTCTCCACTTCCCTTCTCAGCTGCCCACACATTGCACAAAATCTAATTTGCAGTCATCTTCTACATCAGGCAAAACAGACTTAAAGAACTTCCTTCTCAAGCATAAGCTCACAAATAGTCAAGTTGTTTTAAGTCTCATGTGTTTTTATTGGCTTAAGCAGGTGCAGCACAGGAGGACCAAAACGTGAAATTAAATATTAAAAGTGAAAGAATAAATAGGCTGAAATCCCTTTGCTTACGGGTAGTAGCTTGGTTCCTTACTATACAAGCTGTACACTAAAGGCTCATTTTTATTCAAAGAATAAGGACAATAATAATAAATAAGAAAAACATATCTTGATTATTTTAGTTTTAAGACACTGCTCCTGCGGGGTAGTAGCTCTGAGTAATGCAGTAGAGTAATAAATTACTGGTTCAGTCTCCAAAGACAAACCAGAGAAACCCCCTGTCCAGGGATGCTGGGACTTAACCACTCTAGTATATCAAAGTTATTTACCCCTGGAAGAGAAGCTGTGGCAAAAAAACTTCTTTACACTCAAAAGGATGCATTTATTTATGAGAAAAGAAGGTTGGCCCATCTGAGCTTCAGAAGCTCAGACGTGGAATCTGCAAGGCCATAATAGAGCATTTCCTGGGTGCAATACTACAGACTTAATGAGGTTTTGTCATCACAAAATGTGCCTGTAATTTCCTCACGTCTCAAGACATTCTTCTGCTAATTTTTCCTCATTTATTAAGAGTAATGCTTGTGACATCACATGATCTACTAGCATTCCAGCTCTCTTCCAGACCTCCAAAAATTATCTCTGAAGCCAACTGGTCAATGTCAACCGAGTTTGAGAGGTCTCAAAGACCAAGTTCTTTCTAATATCTGCCAGTTTTCATAAAACAAGAGGACAGATTATGGTCTGTGAGGAAAGGACTGTGATGTCCCTCTGGCCATCCAGAGGGACCTGGACAAGCTC